GACTCCCCACCCCCTCCTGATATCATACCATTTTTCTTAACAAAGGCTAATCTGTTTACGAGGTTAAAACATACAAGTCTGCTGGGAGGATTAGCAAACCAAAAGACTTTCATTTCTCTCACAGAAAAACAAAGTTAGATATAGCAAAATAATGGCCATTTTCTGGAGAAGGGACTTGGTGATGATTTTCTGCATCTTTAAAATCCTTGCTGAGGATAGCATAATTCCATTTCTACAAGTGGAATTATGCTGGACAACGCTGACATGGAGGGGCTGTGAAAACGGAGCAAGTGAAGGAAACGCTCACCATTTACTTCATACTCTTCTTTTTACGAAGAGCACATAAGGAAAACAACTATCAGGATTATTTATTTAAATCAGCCATTAGGTTGATTTCATTTCTTTTTGGTCTTAATAAGGAAAGACTAATGAACTCAATGGTAAATACTATTTGTCATCAAGCCTTACTTTACAATAACCTCTCATGGCTCATGGCCCTTTATGAACAAAGTTTAAAAGTTAGTATGTGCAGAGTGAGCACAACTGCATGTGAAAATAAGTGAAAAAAGAAAAAAGACTGATTGCAAAGCATCTCTTAGACATGAAAGTTTGAGTGATTTAAACTTTATTTACATTTTCTATAATAAATCATCTCCAGTGAGTATGTATTACTTTTATAATTAAACAAAGTAGGTGCTATTACAAATCAATGTAAGTGACTGCATATATTCCATAAGAACACAAATAAACTTAAAATGAACCAAAAATATTTCCTATTATTATTTCTGAAGAAAGGGACTAGGATCAGTAGTGATATTTTTTTCTTTCTTCAGTGCTTCAGACATTTGCTCACATTTTTTTCTGTATTTTATAATGAAATTTAAAAATGTATTGTTTCCTTAAAGAGCTCAGAAGAGTTTTTATTGTTTGTTCTGTTTTTAAGTTAGGACTGCACCTACTATCTCTCCACTCAGCTTAACAAGTCCTTTGGAAAGTTCTTACTTAGCCTAACTTCTTACTGCTGCTGTTTGTGTAAGGCAGGCACATCTAACGGTCATGCTAGAAACATGGATGCTACTGAGATGATTTGGGCCTGGAGTGGGGGCAAATCTCTAAATTCCTTATTCAGTTGCAGTGGTAGTAGGAGAAAGGAGGGTCTTTTCAGAGTAGGAACTTGCATATGGTCAGATAAAATCTCTCTTCTTCATGCTATAATATCTAGACCTCCCCAGGGGGCTCTGTCTGACCTGGTTTCTAGGGTGTGACCCATGGTCACCATAGGCTTCCCAATCCATGCTTGGTCAGCAGGATGGGTTGGGATGGGGTGAAAACAAAGCAAAAGGTCCATCCATACAATGGATATAAAATGGACCCCCTCCCCCACTACTAATGCCCTTCACATCACTCTACTTTTTTTTCCCCCCCATAGCACTTACCGCCTTCTAACATTACTATATAGTTTATTTTCATTGTTTAGCATTTGTCTTTCTGGTTCACTCACAAGAGCGTAAGCTCCCTGAGGGCCGGAGTTCTTGTTGTGGTAAGTGATGTGGCCCACATGGCCCAGAGCCTGAAACACAGTAGGTGCTTCGCATATACTTTTGAGTGGAGGAACTTAAATTTACCGGATAGAAGGATTGGTGAGATACACGAAGCGAAGAAAAAATACGACAGCATTCACCACACAACTGTAATTTAAAATATAGATGTGCTTGAGAGGGCATGAGAGTCTGGGAACAAACACAGCAATTGTTGACACTGTTTATAGATTTTGGGATTGTGGGTAATTTTACTTTCTTCTCCATTGTTTTTTAGATTGACTCTTTCTCGGTGTGCAAATTTCACCTCTATGATCATATAAAAATGTTCAACTTAAAAAAGAAAAAGGAAAAGAGGTGGGGTCTTAAACCAGCCATGGGCAGCCAATGAGTTTGAGTGTGGTTCAGTCAGTGCAAAGTGGGTGCTCTGGTGGTGGAGGCACCCCCTGACTGTGGACCATTACTCGTTCCTGGAACTATCAACCCCACCCACACTGGTAGGAGTCACTGGGGAGACCCTCCTTTTTACGGGCCTGGAGCCTCCATGTCATTAATGACCCCTGAAGTACAATCTGCCTCCTGTTGGCCTATTCACTCTCCCCAAATTAACTGAAGCCTGTTGTAAGATGATGCAATGTTTTTATACTACTGTGGTTTGAATCTAGGCTCGAATGGCAAGTGTGAACATTAAGGTGTGATGTAATTGAAATTTATTGCAGGATTACTTGTGCATGAGTGGCCTGGGACATGACTGCCTGCTGCTCTTACTAAGAGCTATATCTCTGCCCTGGTATCCCCTTAAAAGAAGGGACCACTTTCTAGAGCAAAAGTTGGTGTCAGTGCAATCTTGCAGGTGTCCAGGAGGAAACAAGAAACCTTGGGGAGGAACAATGACCAGCCCAAGCACCCACAGATCCTCGCATCACTGCATATGTTGAAATATCAGAACAGCAACTCTCTGGAGCATGGGCTTCCTTGCAGCTTCCATGTAGGCACTGAGTTAAGACTCTAGTCAGGCTGACCTGCAAGGAACTGGGTCCAGATCCAGGGGAAAGGGGCTGTGCAACTGGTTTCTGGGCAGCAGGTAGGGTTGAGGTGTGTGAAGGGCAATGATGAATGATGTTTGGTCCTTGCTTTTAATTATATTTGAAAATGTTCTCACCACAGAGCTCTGGGAAGCTACTATCAACTGATGATGCTAGCATTGCAATATGTAAGCTCTTAACCATCTTGGGTTCGAAATGAATTTGTATATAAAATGGTCAGTCCCTCACCTCCTGTATCCTCAAAATTCCTGTCTCTCTCATCCTATTTTTTGTTTCTCCACAGCATTTATTACTATCTAAAATACTATGCATTTATTAGCTTATTGTCTGTCTCTCCCTGGAACATAAGCTCCATGAGGCAGAGATTTTGTCTCATGTATCTCTAGTCTGAGAACAATGCCTGGCACATCGTAGGTGCTCAACAAATATTGGTTGGGGGTATGGTGTATGGAAAAAAGAGACAGAGAGAAAACCAAAGACAAGGAGAAGTGACTTTATAAACAATGTTTCAATTTATTTCATTATTTTAAATCTGAATCTGCATAAAATGATGGTTGGTTGCATTTAGTTCAAAGCATCCCCGTGACATGAACTGAAGACGAGCCCAGGTTTGAACTTTTGCTACTCACCATCAAGTCCAGTGGCCACAGCAATCAGCCCTGTAACTTAATTTGCATCCACTGATGCAAATGACAGCCCCAGATGCAAGTGACTCAGAGGATTTTCTTGGGGTGGGTGGTGATGGGAAAGGGGTCGGTAATCACTTATGATGGTGAATGCCAGAACAGGGCCCTGACTGCGCTTCTGTCACAGCCTATGGCCATCTGAAATGAGAGGGCGCCTGAAGAAACATAGGGAAAGCCAACGGTGCCTGGGAATTCTGGGATACAGAGACTCAATTCTTTCACTCAGTTTTGATCGACTCAAAACAGGTACCAATCTCCCAGTAGGATACAGCTCAAAAGAGGACCTAAAACAAACGTAAGCGTGAAGTTTCTGAGAAGAGCACATCCTTCCTGGACTCATTCTCTCATTTGGTTTCTCTCATTTCTCTCTCTCTTTACACACACACCCTTTTCAACATCCCTCAGCCCAGATTCGGGCAGAGGACAGACACCACACTGTGCAGATGCACAGACACCCTTGTGTGTGGTCTCCCACTGCTACAGAGCCCACTTGGTGGTGGGGTTCACTTGCTCACACATCGGTGTGCTGAGACCCAGAGGACCCTACGCTGCCTGGCTGGCTCTCGCCCGAGAGTGCCGAGCTGGCCGCCCGGCTCCTCCTGCTGTGATGCCCCCCTCCCAGGCTCCTGGGGGCCGACTCATCCATCAGCTTGAGCTTCTCATGCTCCTCTTTCAGGAAGAAGTCCACCAACAAGCTCTTTTCTTTCTTGATCTGGTCACTGATGTCTGTGGGGATATCGGGGATCATCCAGTCCACAAGGACACTCAGGAACATCACAAGGTTCTGCCAAAAGCAAGAGAGAAGGGTTGAGAGGAGGGGCTTGGCCCGGGAATGCTGGCGCGCGCCTGTCCAACCTTGCCTGTCAGAGTGACAGTCTCCGCAGAGGGGCTGGAGCAGGGTGCAAAGGTGAAGAGCACAGACCCAGGCGCAGATGCCCCTGTGTTATTCTGGCTCTGCTACTTTCCAGCAGGTGATCTTAGCCGATAAGCATAACTGCCTTTTGGTGTCCCCATGTCCTATGTAGAGAGTGGAACAGTAACAGTTTCTACCTCCTGGAGTTGTGTGAGGATTGAATGAGTTAATACCTCGTGCACAGTGGAACTCAATAAGTGTTGGCCATTGCTTCTCCCCCTCCTCCAGCACATCTCATGTGTCCTGCTCTGGCTTCCTGGCCTAGACGCCTCCAGGTACCCTGTTCCAGAGCTTCCTGGGAAGTGGCCACGAGGCCCAGTGGCCTCTCCAGGGCTTTACCTGGGCTGGTTGCTTCTCTCTTCCTTGCACCTGACCCTCTGTCCTCCCTATCAGAGGTGGGCCTTTAGTCTCTGCACTGAGCTCTGGCCTTAGCTGACCCCACCCGCTACTCACATTCACCAGTCCTGCTCTTCATGCCACGCCTGCCACTCTGGTCACACTGGCCTGTCTGTGCCTCCAGCTCTCCTTGACCAGTTCTAACCTTTTCTTTGCACTTGTAATTGGGTCCCTTCTGTCTCCTGAGCCACATCCCTTCTCTTGTAAATACAGGTAGGATAAGACTGCGTTTTCCTGGGAGCATTTTCTGTTAAAGTGGGTGAATACGTTACAACAGCGCCAGCACATAATGTTTGCTACTTTGATAATCTGGTTCCCATCCATTTTCCCAAGCCTTCTTCACCTATACCCTCCCCAAAACTCCTTCAATTCTGGTATTCTTCTCTGCCTGACAATTATGTGGTCATGTGTCTTCTCCCCGCTGAAATACAGAGGACAGTGATGGAGACCAGAACAAGATAACAGAACACTGCTGTCTTCCATGCTCTAAACCTATTTGCAGCTCCACCTTGAACCCTGTGTGTTCCTAGGAGCCCAGGGGAAGACTTTGGGAACCAACTGCTGCTTCTAGAGGCTCCTGGCTGCCCTAGGGAATCTAGAGCTGCTTCAAGTCATACGCTCTTCTTTTAAACCAACTCCTTACCGTGTGAGTGAATGTTACAGGTGACATATGGTAAAGTGCGGAGACTTCTGCAGGTGGGGCAGCAGGGGGACGTCTGAGCAATTTTTCAAATATATCGCCCCATCTCTCCAGAGGAAGAATGGCTGTCTTCTTTAAGTGAAAGACTAGCCGGTGGGCTTCTCCACTTCCTAGGCTGGGGTCAGGGGCAGGATATTTTAGAGCCCTCCAGAGATCTGCCTTCAGGGAATACAAACGCCTGAGGGAGTCTACAAGAAAAGGATCTGGGCCTGTGCTCCAGCCCTGCTTGAAGACCGGCAGGACCCCAAGTGGGAACTGGGGCCTCGCACTCAGAGAATCTCAGCGGTGCAACTGGAGCTGCCGCTGTTGTCGGAGATAGGAATCACGGGGCTCAGGTTTGCTATTCATCCAGGGATGGCGGATGGCTCTGGCGGCCCTCCTCACCAGATGTCTCAGGGGCTAAAACAACACTAACAAAGGAGGGAGCCAGCCGAGAGGGCTAGAAGAAAGGCTCAGGTGGGGCTGTTTGTCTGCATTCGAGCTGAGACTCTGGTTTCCACTGCTCTTTCCACGTCCCTTTGTTGTCTGAGGTTTAAATGGGAATCTATGTCCACCCTGCAACTTACTCCACATATGTTTTGTAACCTTACTCTGTGTTTTAGTCTCTTTCTGCAAATCTATCAATTAATGGAAGCCCTCTCAAGAAGGCTTCCTGCCTCACCCAGGGACGGGAGCAAGCACTCGCTCTGCCTGCCACATGCAAAGACCCCTTGTGTCACACAGTGCCATGAAAACCTATAGATGAGGGGCAGGCAAAGAGACATGGCTGTCGGGACTCTTGCAGCTTGAATTCTAACTGGCTCCTCCTTATCCAAAGAACTCACCTGGAAGATTATGACAAAAGCCAGGCGGGCAGACAGAACAGACCAGTACTGTTTGGAAAACTCATATGGGTTCGGGGCCCATGGCGGCTCTCGGTAATCCTTAAACCTGCCCAAAGAGAAATGTGGTGTTAAGATTGGGGAGAGATGGAGGGGAGAGGGGTACTTCTCTGAGGGAAACCTCAGGGATCCAAGTGGCAGGCCAGTGCTTGGCTCTCAGACTTGGGAACCAGGGGGGCAGAGGGGAGGAACTCAACCAGCAAGTGTCCATGGAATCAAATGACCAAAGTCCAACAGAAGCCAGTGTCAGTTTAGAAATGTCTTTTTCCTATTCTTTCTCCAACATTCCCAAAAGCTTCCTTTTGGGGTCTGGATTCTCCCTCCAGCGGAGTCCAGGAATCATGAGAGGACCCCAGGACAGTGAATCCATCTTAGCTCCCACTAGCTGTGGGCTCTAGAGGAGAGGGGGAGACCCACAGACCCTCATAGAGTTCTCTGCAGCCCGTGAGCTCAGTGAAGATACAGGGGCCAACAGACAATCCCGGGCTTCATCTCCAGGTGTTTGCTTTGGGACTGAGGCCATGAGAGGGGCCGGCTTCATTTGATAGCTGCATTCTTATACCCAAAGGAAAGCTGGCTGCAACCAAGTTGATGACTGAATGAATTTAGGGCGGGAGAGGGCCAGTGGTAATAGTCACAGTTGATCAGTGTCATCCTCTTTTACTAACCATCTTTATAATTTGTCTAGGTGGCTTAAGAAACAAAATGTCAGTGTCTGACGTGAGCTCATCCCCCGTTCTCAGATTCATGGAGAGGTCCCGGGCTTTTCCTCGCTGTCGCCTTTTCACCCCCATCTTAGGGATGACTCATGTGAAAAATGGCTCATTTTCTCAGACTCACTTTTTTCTAAGCCTGGAAAAATTACAAAAGCTGGTACCAGAAGAATTATAACCCTTCATGAAACTGTTTCCTCATAGGATTCAACAAAGCTTTGATGCTCAGTGAAAGCACAGTGAGCCCTGGGCTAGAGGAAGACGTGGGGTGGCATCAGGACACCATGTGGGGTGCACGGCTGCCAAGGAAGGCAGGGTGGGGGCTCTGTCCGAGGAGGCGCCAGGAAGGGAAATGAATATATATTGAACAGGCTGTATGTGTCAGTCTCTGAGCAAGAAACTTTGCGTTGGTTTTCTCATTTTATCTTCACAATAGCATCCACAGGCAGACACTGATATCCCCTTATAATACAGGAGGAAACTGAGGCTCAGAGAAGTTCAAGTACTTGGCCAAGGTCTCATGGTCAGCAAGAGGTGGGGTCAAGGTGAGAATCCAAGTCTGGCTGAACTCAGGCTTTTCTTCTCTTCTCACAGAGCACCTTACCGCCAGCTGCGATTTGGGGTGGGGGGTTCAGTGGGTGCTCTCTGTAGCTTCCCTTGCCCTGAATGCACAGCAGCTCTGAAGTATTCATGTCAAAGTGGAGTGGCTCCCAATTGTCCCAGGAGATATGAGGGAAGAGGAAAAATAAAACCTGAAAAGAGACGCACATGGAAAGATAGAAAAAGGCCTAGCGATAGAGTAAGCAACAGAAAGAGACAAACTGAGAGGCGGACACTAAGCATTCGACTAGGTCTGGGCACGAAGCCAGGAGCGGCTCCCTCTCCGCGCAACGCCCCCTCTTCCAACAGCTGATCACAGCTGTTGCAGGCTTGGTTTGACACTGGGATGAAACGCAAAGCTAACTGCAGTCCAGCAAAACACCACGGCATCCATCACATCCATCCGTGGCTGAGGACAGAAACACGGCCAGCTCCAATTATGCCTGCTAATGGGAGAGGGGGAGAGCGTGGCTAAAGGAATGAGGACATGTTGGGGTGGGAAAAATCTCAGCTCCCCTACCCTCTTGCTGCCCCCAAAAGACCCTATGGTAGAAGGGAATTGATCCTACTCTTCTCAAAACCTCCAAGGAGGGGTGTCACACACACCGCACTCTTACCACAGGGAGATCCTTCCCCAGGTCTAGCCCCATCTCTCCTGCTGTAACCAAAGTCCATTTCTCTGGTTCTCTAGCTCCATCTATGAAGGAACAGATGTTCACTGACCTCGGTATGAGAGCCATTGTTCACCCTGCTTTTTTCCAGTCTGAAAAAGAATCCATAAATAATTGAATTCTAGTGTCCCACCTCTACTACTAACTCACACAGCTTTTGAAAGTGTCACTTTGCCCTCCCTGAGTGTCCAAAACTGTTTTGAATCTAACAGGCACACCCATTTAATCAAGGACCTGAGGAAAGACTGACACAGAGATATGTCCAGAAAACTCTGTTTGAAAATACCCCTATACCTATAGGCTAAGAGTGCTCTGTTAGAAACTGCAGGGCAAGCTATCCACGGAAAAGAATAATACACTATTTAATAAATTATGCATCTGTTCACACTTCTCTTTCCAAAGTTAAATTTTTAAAAACTATGACCTACAGTAGTAAGAAATACATTTTAAATTACTGTACATGTAAATATGTCCCTGAAATAAAAACTACACAAAACATACTTATCCTTGCTGTGTGCAAATGCACTGATATTTTTCTATTCTATTCTATATCTATGCTATGCTATGCTATGCTATTCTATTCTTTAAAATGCTGATCATGACCTACTAAAGTGATTTCATAACCCACTAATGAGTCATACTTTGAAAAACATTGATTCCAGTAAGCCTCTGCGACCAGGTAAATTATTGGTTGTTTACATTCCAATATCAATTCAGATTTCATAATTTTAAAAAATTTTATTCTTCTTAGTCAAGCTTATCAAATGTTTGACTGAGTAACTAGAAGACACTAATTAAACAAAGAGATAATTAGCTGTAAGACTAGAAATGTCCACAAAAGACAAAGTGGCTGCAGGACTTAATCGTGTCCCCCATGGTGACAGTTGTGTCTTTTGCTTCTAAGCTCAAGGAAATATTGGCACAATATTGGCAAAGCGTAGGCTTTGCAGTCAGGTAATCTGATGCCACTTCCATCACTTCAGTTCTGTGCTCTCTAGCAAGTGACCTAATGTTCTGATGGCCAAGGCCATCGTCTATAAAATGAGCCTCAACTTTCTCCATCTCAGAGTTGTAGTGAAGATACAATGTCAGGGAAGGGCACTTAGCACGCCACTGATCTATCAGATATACTCCCAGGGAGCAGGAGCTATTCTTTCTTCTTTGACTGAAGGTAACTGATGAAATATACTTTTTATATTAAAAGAGGACAGGTACCCTTGCTCCCAGTTCCCCCTGGCTTTCTAGAGGGATTTCTGAGCACTCAAGCACAGCCACTCTAAGTTTCCCGTGATGCTGATATGAATCAAAAAGAGGAAGTCAATGCCACAACTGAAAGGGGCTTCTCTCAGGATCTCTGCCCAGGTAAATGTAGGCAAGCCTCAGGCTGGTGAGAAGTAACTTCTGCTCCATTCCCATCAGCTCTAATGCTTTCTCAAACCAGACCCTTTCCCCTGGTAGAGGGAGCTTGGAAGATCACAGCCCCACCGGGCAGCCAAGCACTGGGTGACCCCCATATCTGGTCACTTCCTGCATCTGCTGGCTGGGATTCAAACTCTGAGATATCATTTTAGAAACTGTTCCCAGATTTCACTGTCACCCACCCAGTCCTTTAATTTTGTTGAGCCTTCATATTAATTTTGGAAGTTCCCTTTAGCCTTCTAATAAGGTAAGTAGTTCAATAATGAAACAACTAGAGTATTTAAAAAGCAAGTGTGCATTTGGAGTGGCTATGTCACTTACTAACTGTAAGACCCTGAGGAAGTTATTTCACGTCTCTGGACCTCAGCATTCTAATCCATAAAGTGAAGCTAACAAAATGTGGATCTCGGTGCTGAGGGCACAGGCGATGCACACTTGAGCTCTCTCACTCCAACCATGAATAACTGGATACATACGTGTGTGTGTGTACACTGAACATTAAAGGGAGACACAATGAGAGTTCAACAAGACAACACATGTGAATGTGATTTCTGGAGACTTCCCCAGAAAATGGACACAATGGTTTCTTCTGGGAGAGGACGACTAGGGTGGGGCTGAGAAGAGAGTCTTTGCCTTTCATATACATATAAATATATATTTTCAATATATTTGTAATATGTATAATAGAATTAATTCTAATACATTAATGCTTAATATAAATAACATTAATTATATATTATAAATTGCATGTATATAATTTTCATATATTTAAATTATATAATTTATATATTATATATACTGTATATATAATATATACATACATACAGAATTTTATATATATAGACACAAACACACAGGATTAGGGGGCTGAAAAGAGTGCCTTTATACACACACACACACACACACACACACACACACACGCATACAGAATTATGTTTATAATAAAGTTCATAATTTCAAAAGAAGAATGTAATTAATAGCAATATTCAGTTGACCCAAATACATTTTCATACTAAGATTCGGGAGCAAAATCATAGTGTTATCTAAGACAGACTTGCATGCAATAAGTGAAACTGGTATAAAAATCAACATATTTGTAAGCTTTAAGGTTTTGAGCTTTAAGACTACATTAATATTTCATCTAGATTGCTCTAACACTATGAAAAATTACATTGTGTTCAATTTATACATTACCTAAAGAAATAAGGTTTCCATTAACTCAAAATATTTTACATTATTGTAAAACAAACCCATGAAACAATACCTTAAAGTTTCTACAAGTTCATTTTATGTTAATGCACAGATAAATGTCTAGAAAGATCCACACAAATAGTATATTAGCCTGGCAGGGGTGAGGGTGGAGGTGGGACAGAGTCCCACAGGCTGCCTGTGATAGTTAGAATTGTTATAGGAATGGATTAGTATTCTATGTGTGTATTTAACTAATTTTTTTTAAGCAGAAAATAATCTTTGGAGATTATTTATTCTAAATCCTCATTTTTACAGGTAGGAAAACTGGGATGCAGAGAGGGGAAAGAGACTTGGTTCAGATGTCCCCCTCCCTTCTTCATTTGCAGGGGTGACCAGTGACAGTGACATCTGCCACAAGTCATCACAATACTAAATCACTGTGGGCAGGAAGGGTG